AAACAGACAGAACAATGGCTAATTATGTGGCTAAATCTGTGAAACAGACATTCACTGAGTTAAATCTGTGAAACTGAGTTGCTTGAAACTGCCATAAATTAGTTGCCTACTCTTTACACAATATATTTTTCTTAATTCTTTTCACATATAACTGTAAGTCTGTTCTCCTTGAATGTCTTATTAACTCCTTTAGATTCAAATCTTCACCATTTTTTTTCTTAAAAATATAATGAGTTCTCCTTGAACAATAATTCAAATGGTCGCCATTTTAAAACAGAGCCTTGGTCTCATCTGATCTGGGAAGAAATGAACAAGGGTTACAAGTTCACATTATTTCCACCACTGCTGCTGTTAATCCAAGTGTTAATCTTGGCACCAGAATGCCATTCTCATGCTACAAATATGCAGGTTATCTACAACTGTTCCAGAACCTCCAAACGATAACAATAACTGCTGAACAAGGCTGTTTGGGGTTTTTCTTAACATCTGAAAGTACAGGCTATCTGAAAACATTTTTTATCATTTAATGTGAAAACTAAAACTGGAGCCACTTATGTAAGAATTATACTTAAAATGTTCTCATATTTCTCTTTTGTTATGACCAAAGAATGTCGACTGATTGCTTGTGGGTTCTGTTTAAGTTTTCTTTTGACTTGATGGCTTTCAAAACATTTAGATATCTACATTTTGCTGTCCAAGAAATGAAAGATATTCTTCTGTAAAACAAACGGATAATAACAATCAGAGTAAATGTTTCAATGTAAAATTACCACAATAAATACAGAATGAGACAAAGTATGTGTGCTATGAACTCCTGATATTAATAATGTCTACATATGTGTAGCAGTTTGATGCATTCATGAATAAACAAAAAAGACCATGCAAGGACATATAAGGCAATAAATGACATACAGTAACATTCATATTTACACCGCTCATAATGTCACCACTTGTGACATCAAGCAAGTTTAGCCTTTTTAAGCAACAATTAATTATATTGCACAACCCAACAACTTGCCACTCCAAATAAATAGGAAACAAATAATCTGGAATCAATATTTTAGAAAAATAAAACATTTTCAGGGAAGTCTTAAAAATATACATTTTCAATTATTATTATGCCGCTAAAATAAACAACACACAATTTTGCAATATTTCTGAAGTTCTGCAAGCCAAGATTAAGTACTTAACGATAACCGATTCACTAAAATGGAGTCTAGAGCATTCTTTCTTGGTCAGGAATTTTAAATAAACTCCTTTTGTAGTAATTTTAAGTGTAACTCCACCCGCCCCCACCCAAAAATAACCTCAAAAATGTGAAAAAAGTTATGCTATTACAATGTTTTATTTTACTCAAAATGGCAAGTGAGAGAAAAGAATCATGATTCTTTTCTTTTATTTCACCCCATCTGGGAGCCCTTGAGATTGTGTGGGGAAATTCCAGGAAAGTCCCATAGTATAGAGAGAGGTGTTGGGGTTTCTGTTAGTCAGTGTTCATATGAAGGAATGAAAATGATGATGCAATAAACAGTGAAACAATCATCACATTCCCACAGAAAGAAAGTTAGTCGTTCAAACAAAAGAAAGTTGTGCACTTCTGTGCGAAAGACAGTTTGTTAATCGTTTGTCAATCTAAGGCATAACTTTTTCTCATATTGTACTAACACCGAATGAAATCATGTCATTATACCCCTAGAATATGGAACTTTTTCTGGGAACTCTCTAGTAAATCTCGGAGCTCCGAGATGGGGTGGAAAAAAAAAGAAGCAAACCTCATTTTCCACACCTTAAGAGGTATTAGATATATGGTGCTAACTTCGTATTTTCATAGATCAGTGGCACTCATTGAGTGATGTCATTAACATCACCCTAGCAACTCTCAGATTACAGAAGATTTCTAGTGCCTATTTTAGGTTCTGTAACTCTATTTTTTTAAATACCTGCTTTGAGGTGGTATCGAAAACATGACTACTGTCGGCAGGCAAGACTGCTACCCCTGTGCTACAAACTGGCAAGTCAACATTTAATACAGTAAACTGTAGAAAACACGCAAATTCACAGCCGAAAACTTCTTCACTTTTAATGGTTATAAACCCTGGCAAAAAGTTATGGTTGTTTCTTCCACTTTAGACTTAACTCTTGTTCCTGAACTATAGTTTTATGTAATCATCCATTTTATAAATCTGGCTAATTTGTATGCAGACTGTTAGTTTCTCACCTCATGCAATGCACTTTGACTTCGAAGGAAACAGTTAATTAGTCAACTCTGACAAAATGTTTGGGCAGTGGATCTATCTGGTCCTCCAAAATCCACCCAAGAAAAGGCAGGAAACAAACAAGCTTTAAAAAAAAAAACTACGGACAACCCAGCTACTAGTTTAAATCAAAGCTAAATGTTATTCACACACATGAATACTTCTAAAAATGATTAGGCATTACAACAGATGATAATGAAACACCATGGAAATGTTTATATTTATAACATTTAGTTATTAAGTATCCTAAGGCAGTTGACGCCAGCATTTTCAATTCATCCAAACGCAATAGCCAATGAGTTTAAAAGATATATCTTTTTTCATATGACACACTTTCAAAGATTGCAGGCCAAAAATATAAACTAGCAAACTCCAAATTATTTCAGATCGGTCAATAAATGAGTGAAGAAAATCCTCTTTTTTACATCTCAATCAAACTTACACTGTAGCTGAGTAAACAAGGTTAACTACAAGAAAAAAAAAAAATACATGAAAAAAAAACAAAATATTCCATAACAGACAGATATATCTGTTAATATAAAGTTGACTGACTTTTTACCACATCAGGACATCACGCTGAGCGATAAACACCCGGTGACACAAAGTGCCACCACCTGGATAAGGATCACCTGTGCAGAGAGATCCAGGAAACCCAGTTCAACTGTTAGGTTATATTGGGGCATCCAGCAACAACCAGGGTAGAGCTTCGAAATAAAGAAAAATACGACCCACATGGGGACAGAGATGTAACAATATAAAGTTAGCAGTACTAATCCACTTAAGGGATGCAATTTTTCGTTATTACGAAGCCCCACCCTGGCTCTTGCCAGGGACCGCAATATAGCCCGGCCCTAAATGTGGCCTAATGGCTGAACGTGGTTTCTGGGAGGGACCTCTCCACGGGTGATCCACATAAACATGGTGACACTTTATGTCACCAGGTGTTTATCGCTTGTGTGATGTCCGAGTGGGGTAAAAAGTACTACTACTAATATAAAGTTATCTGTACACAGCCAATGTTGTACCATAAACTGTAACCCAGAACAGTTATCAAAAATAGTTTAGCATCACCTAAAACAGTTGAAGATAAAAAGCACATCTGTGATGATCCTCAGACAGCTAGAATTCAAATTACAACACCAGATGTAATCATAATATACCATACAGTACTCCGAGTGGCTAATAAATGGCTCCAAATGTACCAAACTCCACTTAGTTTTTGCTTCTTCTTTCCTTAATTGTCTCCCCTCCTGGTTGCAAGCTGAAAGTCTATTGCACCGAGATTACAAAATCTCAATCCGGATGGCAAAACAAATACCAGGTACTGCGTCTGACCTCCAGGAACGTTATAAACGGGGCACCTATATGGTTTCACCAGCCTGGTGTAGGTAGCCGAGACTGACTGACTTTTTACCCTACCAGGACATCACAATTAGCGATAAACACCCTGTGACAAAAAGTGCCACCATTTAGATGGGGATCACCCATGGAGAGGTCTCAGAAACCTTAATCAACCATTAGATTATATTAGGGCCCCTGGCAACAACCAAGGTGGGGCATCAAAATAATGAAAAATTCGTCCCAGATGGGGACGAAGAGTAGGTAGCCGAGGCTTTCATGTCAAGATAAAGGCAAATACATGTATAAGGCATTTTATTGATGTCTAGTTTGTTGAATAATCATTTCTAGAAATCTGTCTGTTGACATTGGGCGGAGTTCACTATTTTTAGTTTATCCGGCACCAAGTTCCAAGTTACTACTGTTAATCATGATCCAAACTTTACTCCCCCCAAACAAAGCTTGAGGAGAAAACCTTTCCTGAAAATTTTCACTATAATTAATTAACAGTTCTAATTATTATCCTTTATTTTTCGTTGTTTTCCCAACCCTCATACAATTAAATAAAGACTGTTGTCTTGTTTTTGACATTAAGGTTTACAAAAGAACAAAATGTCTTATATTTACAATAATGGGGTGATGTATATTCGATGATGTCAAACAGAACTGGTTATTTACACAGATGTTTTATTTTCTGATGAATTATTGTTTCTGTATTTCCAGGCATCAAAAATAGATTTAATTTAATTTTGGAAAATGTACAGAAAGGCCAATTACACATTTTAAATGAAGAAGGAATGAAACATAAATCTTTCTCTTGTTTGAAACTGAGAAAATCATGTGAAACTGATAAAACAATCTGAAAAATGTACCCGAAAATGACCCTTACAAACCACTGATAATCCATTATATAGTGCAATGAATGCGAACAAGGACTAACTAGAGAAATAAAATTCACAACTGATGCAAAATATAAATATGAATTATAAAAAGCACACAAATTATGAATTAGCACAAGATGAAACATTTTGGCTGATTTTGTGTTGTGCTCAAATACGATTACATAGTATAAGTGGACACTGGATATGTCGTTGTCACTGTTGCAGCACACGTCTAAGTGTGCAGGCTACTTGATTTCATTGTGTCCATTCATGAGACTGGCTCAAGAATGTTACAGCACTTATGGATAACATGAATATTTTTTCGTGATTGGCAGCTATTCAAAAACAGGATTTGGAAGTCCACAATGACAAAAACTGGTATCAGCAAAATATAGTGAGATATATTTGAAGGCCTCGTGTTGCAACAGTCATGTCTGTGTGATTTTCAGGAGTAGGGGTGTTGTTAAGTTTGCTGAGGAAGAGAGAGACCACGTCAGTCCTCTGTTTTGAGATATCTTTACTGGTGCTATGATACTGTAGAACTAGGAAGCATTGCTTCTGTCTTGACAACAATAGAGCCATGCATGGGAGACACTACAAGAGGCTGTGTTAGCACTCGTATGTCATTTCGATGGGCAAAATGTTCTAAGGCCTCACATTTATTTCTCAGAGCATTCAATTCCATCTTCACAATGTCATTCTCTCGTTGAAGTCTGTGTACCTCTGCACGAAGATGGTCTTTCTCTGTTTCAAGTTCCTCTTTCTGTGAAATACGTTTTTCTCTGCAGTTAGCAGCATATCCTCTGTTTTTTAAAGTGCGCCTTCGTTGTTTGAGTTTGCTTACCTCGTCTCTGGTCAGCCCCTTTAGAAGACGATTCAGCTCTTTCACCGACAGAGACACCAGCTCATCGTCAGAGATGGTGCTGTGATTGGGTGTCAATGGAGGACTTGTACTTGCTGCCCTTGCAGCAGCAGCTGTCAACTCCTCCGACTTTACTTGCGACAAAAATATCTGCAGAATGAAAAAGAAACACTTTACTGATGGTATTTCAATCCCCATAACATCTCTAGCTAATTTTCTTGCTAGAAAAATGCAAAGGTCTTTTTCCCACCATCAGCGCTAGACCCATCATTTTTACTGACTGATCACCAATTGATGTGTGACGCGATAAACTTTACGCTGACCCCTTTTATTTCCCATTACATTTCCTGGTACCCATTTTAGGCTGGGTCGGCCTCGGAGCCAATAATATCTTTTCTTTTTTTAAATCTGCCCTGACTTGGATTCAAAACTTAAAAGGTTGGTGTGTTTTGATTAAAAAAAACTGACATCGGTATTTTAATTTGTCTACTTCCACAGCCCAGGGAGATAATTTCACTATTTCCTCTCCCTCTGTATGATTTCCAACGTTAACCAGTGCCAGTGTGCCTTCTCAAAATTTGGTTTGTACGTGACTGCAAAAGCTGACAACAAAAATGATTCAGACATCTTAAATCTCAAGAGCTCAGAATGCCGAAAAAGAAGATTCTGTTTTTCTGATTTGGTTTGAGTATCCACAAGCCATGAATTGTTAACCCTTAGGCTCGGTATTATGGATATCGCAACCTTTCGGCTTTGATTCCATTTTAAATACCGTAAATTTGGGAGAAATGTGGCTTTTCTGCCCACCCCCGGGAGTGAACCCGGACCACAAGGGGTTCATCACCCGCTCACCGTGCAATCTGGTTTAGCCAACTACGCTAGAGAGACGGTTCTCAGATTTGGTTAAAAGAGGCTGGTCAAAACGTCAAATGGAATGTTGAATGTTCAATTAGGAATCGACATCACAGCACTCGGGACACTCCCGTAAGTGTTCACTCATTCACAAAAAGCCCTCAAAACATCTAGCTTGTCAAACATCAATTCACCACCTAGTAGTGCAGAACCGGCTGCCTGTTCATTTCTCAACACACCGGCATAACGTAGAGAAAATATTCAAAGGATGCTAACTACCCGGGATCTCTGAAGTGATGCTTGCCACTCTGCACGAAGCATGCCTGTCTTCACCTTTTTCAACTTGTGCTGTGAGTCAGTTACAATAAAGGCATGTGTGAACATCTGATTCTCAAGGCAGCGGAAGGCAGCAGAGACTGCCTCCACCTCCATTCTCGAACTAGATGTTGTGATATCATATGCAAGACTTTGCTGTACTAAGCGACGTTGTTTGACTTTGCTATGAACCACCATGCACTTCGTCTGCCCCTCAACACAGAGCCATCTGTACAGATAATCACATCTAAAGCAGTAGTGAGCATAGAGATAAAGCAGTAGTGAGCATAGAGATAAAGCAGTAGTGAGCACAGAGATAAATAAGTAGTGAGCACAGAGATAAAGCAGTAGTGAGCACAGAGATAAAGCAGTAGTGAGCACAGAGATAAAGCAGTAGTGAGCACAGAGATAAAGCAGTAGTGAGCACAGAGATAAAGCAGTAGTGAGCACAGAGATAAAGCAGTAGTGAGCACAGAGATAAAGCAGTAGTGAGCACAGAGATAAATAAGTAGTGAGCACAGAGATAAAGCAGTAGTGAGCACAGAGATAAAGCAGTAGTGAGCACAGAGATAAAGCAGTAGTGAGCACAGAGATAAAGCAGTAGTGAGCATAGAGATAAAGCAGTAGTGAGCACAGAGATAAAGCAGTAGTGAGCACAGAGATAAAGCAGTAGTGAGCACAGAGATAAATAAGTAGTGAGCATAGAGATAAAGAAGTAGTGAGCACAGAGATAAAGAAGTAGTGAGCACAGAGATAAAGCAGTAGTGAGCACAGAGATAAAGCAGTAGTGAGCACAGAGATAAAGCAGTAGTGAGCACAGAGATAAAGCAGTAGTGAGCACAGAGATAAAGCAGTAGTGAGCACAGAGATAAAGCAGCAGTGAGCACAGAGATAAAGCAGCAGTGAGCACAGAGATAAAGCAGCAGTGAGCACAGAGATAAAGCAGTAGTGAGCACAGAGATAAAGCAGTAGTGAGCATAGAGATAAAGCAGTAGTGAGCACAGAGATAAAGCAGTAGTGAGCTAAGAGATAAAGCAGTAGTGAGCTAAGAGATAAAGCAGTAGTGAGCATAGAGATAAAGCAGCAATGAGCATAGAGATAAAGCAGCAATGAGCATAGAGATAAAGCAGCAGTGAGCACAGAGATAAAGCAGTAGTGAGCATAGAGATAAAGCAGTAGTGAGCACAGAGATAAAGCAGCAGTGAGCATAGAGATAAAGCAGTAGTGAGCACAGAGATAAAGCAGTAGTGAGCACAGAGATAAAGCAGCAGTGAGCACAGAGATAAAGCAGTAGTGAGCACAGAGATAAAGCAGTAGTGAGCACAGAGATAAAGCAGCAGTGAGCACAGAGATAAAGAAGTAGTGAGCACAGAGATAAAGCAGTAGTGAGCACAGAGATGAAGTAGTGAGCACAGAGATAAAGCAGTAGTGAGCACAGAGATAAAGAAGTAGTGAGCACAGAGATAAAGCAGTAGTGAGCACAGAGATAAAGCAGTAGTGAGCACAGAGATAAAGCAGTAGTGAGCACAGAGATAAAGCAGTAGTGAGCACAGAGATAAAGCAGTAGTGAGCACAGAGATAAAGCAGTAGTGAGCACAGAGATAAAGCAGTAGTGAGCACAGAGATAAAGCAGTAGTGAGCACAGAGATAAAGCAGTAGTGAGCTAAGAGATAAAGCAGTAGTGAGCTAAGAGATAAAGCAGTAGTGAGCACAGAGATAAAGCAGTAGTGAGCACAGAGATAAAGCAGTAGTGAGCACAGAGATAAAGCAGTAGTGAGCACAGAGATAAAGCAGTAGTGAGCACAGAGATAAAGAAGTAGTGAGAATGGAGATAAAGCAGTAGTGAGCATAGAGATAAAGCAGCAGTGAGCTAAGAGATAAAGAAGTAGTGAGCACAGAGATAAAGCAGTAGTGAGCTAAGAGATAAAGCAGCAGTGAGCTAAGAGAACAGCAGCAATGAGCTAAGAGATAAGCAGCAGTGTGAGCTAAGAGATAAAGCAGCAGTGAGCTAAGAGATACAGCAGCAATGAGCTAAGAGATAAAGCAGCAGTGAGCTAAGAGATAAAGCAGCAAATGACTGCAGACAAGTCAAAAACTGAATATCTGAGAAAAAGCATTTTAAAAACATGCAATGCCAACAACGGCTCTGAAATCTCATGCTAGACGTCTTAAAGGATAACTACAAGAAAGAAATGGACATCATTTACATTAGTAGTATATTTTAGCTAAAATAATGCCTTGTAAAACCATCCAGTCATAACTGGGACAGAGTCCATTTATCTGTAATCTATGATTTAGCTATTCAATATCATACAGATTATACACTGGTTTCTTTCCTAATCCTGTAATGTATTAGTAAGGTAAAGAACCCTTTTCCACGCCTTTAGGCATATAGGGCTAGACCTATATTTTATAGACCAATCAGCACAATATAGGTCATGTGGTCAGCATCATGCCAGCCGCCTTTACTTCCCAGGGCTGCACGTGGTACCCACTAAAGGCTGGATCGACCTGGGAGCCAAAATCATTTTTTGGAAAAAAGTCTGGCTCCGCCAGGGAGCAAACCCACAGCCTTCCGATCCACGGCCAGAGTCTAGCCACTTCGCCACAGCCACTTCGCCACAGCCACTTCGCCACAGCCACTCCCCCTGTGCTGCATTACTGTTTTTAAATTAATTATTATCATTGTCATTACTTTCATGTCTGTTAACTTATTTTTTAAAGTTTACTGAGGTATTGCTGAATGTGTGTCTATGGGACACATATGTACTAGTTATAATTATGTTGATCATCCTTAAAAGAATGGAATTTGTGCAGCATTTGATTAGTAAATGCTTTCACAACATGGATGTTTTAGTTACCCAATTCTTGAATGTAGATTTTACTTATAAATGACTCAATCTTTCTTCATTTACCTCTTCAGTTGTCTATCCTTGGTTTTTTGCTGCTATGGGCTAGCCAGAGTTTAGTTCTTATGTATTTCAGTGAGTAGTGTACTATAATATATCATGTTTCTGTCAAATTACTGTACATTTATCATTTTAATTTAACTCCAAGTTGTAATATCAGCAATTTTCTTTTTCAGGTCTTTTTCGGATTAAAGTTGAAGTCAGCCCACTGGTCTGATATGTTCCGATTATTCGCGAGATATTATTAATGACTTTAAATCCTTCAAATGTATGTTTCCTAAAACCTTGATCCAACATTAATGTCAAAGATATTAACAGTAAATTACTTGAAAAGTTTAAGTTTAAAACAGATTTAAACCGTGTGTGATATTTATCAGTATCAAGCTTACCTCTTGATGCCTCATAATTCTGCTGTTGTATACATTCACATGAGTCAAAAAACTGTAACTAACGTATGGTAGCTATGACTGTCCTTGTGCTGACAACATAACTGTTGATATGGCTATATTTATGCTGTCTGCTATAGTACGGAGAACAGCAGACACGACAGACAGACAATTGTACACTGAAGATAACAAAGCCAATAATGTTTATAAAGTTCTAGAGCACAGGAAGTCCCTACTAACAGGATACGTCTTGTATGACCTTTGAGCTTCAATGAACAACACAGCAGTAGACAACCAAACTACTAATTCGTGGATGAGTGATGGTTGCGGATTTAGCTCTGCTTTTCTGCTGATTCATGCTTCAACAGCAATATTTGTGATTCAGATAGTGAGATAGTGGGTAGTAATTGCGTGTACTGAGAAGTTTCTACACATTAGGCGGGGGCGGTAAACTTTCAACTGTTTTGTTTCTTTTTTTTTTTTTTTAAATCTTCAAAACTGACTTGATTTGTTGGGTTACCTTTTTGTGTCTTCACTCAAAATAATTAAAACCCTCCTCCCCTCCTCCGTCACAGTAAGATCAATTCTCGCCTTGTAGACCTTTTCTTTCTGGGTCGAGGACACGACACGTTAGCAAATGCCATTTGCGCATGTCTCGGCGACCTCACCGTGACCCAAACCAGGCTCCGCCCCTGACAATGACGAAATGCGCAGAGAGCCTGGTTGGCTTGTTTTTTATTTTGTGTGCAGTCAGCAACGACAACAAGATCGGCCATGATCGTTCGTGGCTACTGCTATTTTTAGATGTACTAAACAAAGACATGAGCAAGCAGATTACATTATCAAAAATTAGGCGATTATTTGCAAATAGTTTACAAGCAGCAGCGGCTGTTAAGACCTAAACTTATATGTCGCAAATGACTGAAGAAATGCTGTCAATATAAGCGACAATAAAAAGAAAATAATGCTAGTTCATACATCATCACATTGTGCCGTTATACGTCACATACATGGACTGGTGGTTCTTTCCTCAATATCGTTCTGACTTCTATCCTCGCAAACTTTTAATATCATGGATGTAATCTACTCGGGCACCTTTGACCTCTCTATCTAAAATTCATACACTACAACATTCGCATAATTGTCATCTTCTTTATTAATAACAAATATTAACATCACATACAACGTGTTTACACACATCACTGATATTATTACACGTCAAGATTTACTTTCGAGCACACAGAGAAATCCGGAATTATGTGACTATTTCATATCTGACCGCAGAGAAATGAAAACTAAAGAAATTGCGGAAAATACATAACACTAAATAACAGTAAAAAATATTTACGTATGTCAACAAAGTTTACAAAGATAGGGCAATAATTTACTTTAAAAAATATAATTGATACTTTTGTTTATACAAGTTAGAAAGCAACCGTAATCCCTAAATGAATAGGTTGATTTCCGATATGCTGCAAGTAATTTATTTCATCTATTGAACCACTTCTTCCACACATAAAAAATATATTTCTGAACATTACACCCAACTAACCATTTACAAATTCCATAAAAGCGAAATTATTAAGTGTGTATATTTTCATCTCTACTGACCAAACGTTAAAGAAACAGTGAACAATAATTCAAAACAGTATATTTTCCTGTTTCTTAGTAACTATAACAACAATACTGAATGGATATATTTGTCATGGCTCAGTCAGAATATATAACAGCAAAATTGCAAATGTACATTTTATGTCGCACAATTAGAAACTAGGGAGATAACAGTGTTACAAAAGAATAACATTTATTTCTCACATCACACTTAAAAGCCACCCACAACTGCACTTATCTACCAAAAGGAAAGAAGGTCATATACCATCCATTACATAAGAAAGGATTCTTGGTTGCCAAACTCATGTTGTATTTCCCATCCACATTTCATAAGAAACGTTGCACCCGTGATCCAAAATATTCGTAGCAAGGCAAAAACCTGCTTTCTGTGCCAATAAATGGTTAATTAACTTCAAATACAAAAAAGCGCTGACACTGAAATTATATTTGTTATGAAAACGATGCTTTAAGAAAAAAAAAAACGTAAGCAAAGCTTGTGGGAAATCTGATTCGCCCAATGACACAATAGTACTTCACTTCACGAGGTCAAGCGACCTACTTTTTTCTTGCAAACATTATCTTCCCTTTACACATTTATATCAATACTTGACCCGTGATATACAATAAAAGCTCGATATATCGTATTCTTATAGATAATCAATATGAACCACGTCGAATAAGAACTATATACATCATCAAATAACAGCTGCGCAGTTTTCATTCATCAGCCCTCGTGTTGAACACAAAACGTAAACAAAGACATGATGCTAGTCTCATATTTCTAAAACACAAATAATAAGAAATCAACTACATTTCTTACCTTTTTACTCATTATTCAAAATTCTCGTGCTCTTATAAACTTACACAACAATGCTGAAACTCCTGTTTAAATCACCGAAAACACCACAATCAACGGTTGCCAGAGAGGTGGTCGCTAAATTTACTAACTGCATCAGAAATTACGTAGTTTACGCAAAACACTGGGGCTGTAGCTCCGCTTCAGTTGTGGAGAGCGTGCCAATGTGTTGAATCAGCAAAGCACGCTATGACCAGGGCGAAGCGTCGATACAGCGGATTTTCTTTGTTATTGTTCGGCCTGCTAGTTCGATGACGGGATTCTCGCGTAAGAGGACGACTCAGTCCTTCACTGAAAGATTGCGAGAGGGGGAAAAAATAACTGTCTTGCTTGGCCGCGCAAAGTATTTTTTTTCCCTAGCCAGTTCATGCCTTGAAGGACAGTTGTCATGTATTGGTTTAAGAACATGTATCTAACATAATGAATGAAAACGTTTCACACAGCAGGGGAAGTGTGGGCGGTGGAGAGACTGATAACGATAAGGGAATTTTCACTTCTGCACTTTTAAATATTTAATGAACTAGTCGGTTCTTCACAAATAACTTTTTTTTTTCGAGTAAAGACAATTCTCATGGGCAGGCTAACATCCTCTTGTGTCTGTTTAGATGGGATAGATTATCGACACTGCTCGTATCTGGATGTTTTTAGCGAATGCATTGGTGTTCCTTCAGCGTGGCTATCACTATTGCAGCTGACATGTATATCACAAAACAGGGTCAACCACTTTTAAAGGCGAACGTAGAAGAGACATGTTAATCTAATTTGATTTCTTCTTCTTCTTCTTCTTTGCGTTCACCAGCTGTACACTCTGGCGGAAAGTTATGGTTGCTCGTCCACTACTGAACTACAGTCCTGCCTCAGAACCTGAGTGTTGCGTGTGCATCAGTTTTACAGATCTAATTCTCTTGAATACATACTGTTGGTTCCTTGCCTCTGCGGCAGTTGCACTCCGACTTCAAAGGAAGCTCCCCAATTAGTCGACTCTTATGACATGCTTTTGGGGAGGCAGTGGGTCTATTCTTGTTTTCCCCACAATGGGGCCTAGGAAACCCACACGGGGGTAATTTGATTTGATTCAATTCAAGAACTGATATCAAAGAACTCGGGGCATTCCCATAAGCGCCCCGCCCCATCTCAGCAGCCAGCGCAGAGTTCAATACCAGTGGTACCAGTATCAGTCTGATTATACGTCCCTCTTGCCTTTCCTCTGAGCATCGAGTATCGGCCAGAGCATCTAGTCACTTCTCGCTACATCACTCTCACCAGACTGGCGATACATTTGCTGTTAATCAACTGTTAATATGTGTATGTCAAGTGACTGCCATTGAACAAAATTACTTCCTATGGGTGGTTTTCGTTAAAGTCAAGAGGGTCGACTTCATTGCCCCGGGTTTTATTCCATCTGGCTCGGTATCTATAGACACGATGGAGAGCACTGCACAGAGCATGAACTCCGTAGCTCCGGCGACGATCCTCGTGGACCTCAGTAAGAATTGCCCTCGTGAGCTGAAGGACACAGCTGTAGAGCAAGCACACGACCTTCAGAGCGCAAGGCAAGCGGCTTGACTACTTTGCCACTCTCGTAAGGGCCACAGCACTCTGGTTTACCCAGGGGCCCATAATGCTGTAAAGACGGCTCTAGTCAGGACCAAATAGGCACGAGCGTCGATTAGGATGTGATCAGGTATGGTTAAGCATATTACATGTCTGTGTGGGGCTTAGGCGTTGCGAACACACAACGTAATTCAGGGATGCCGTGTTCGATCCCAGCTAAGGGCGATCTGGCAGCAGACCGCATGCTAACTTAAATTGCCTAATGAAATCACAGTCAAAATATACTGGGGTTATGCAACGTCCTGCCAAGGGTAGACAACCAACGTGTATATTACATGTAGATTTCCTGAGATTCGGCTTAGTTGCATGCTCCATGCATTCGTTTTAGGAACTTCGTTGTCCGTAGACTCCAACCCTCCCCCGTGTGGGTTCCAGGGCCCTATTATGGGGAGAAGAATAGACCCACTGCCTCCCTAACAAGCATGTCATAACAGTCGACTAACTGGGTGCTTCCATTGAAGTAGGGCGCATCTTCCTGAGATGAAAAGAACCAACAATCTGCTAAATTTACTAACTGAGAGATCTGTAAAACGGATGTGCACGCAACACTCGGGTTCTGGAACAAGTTTAAAGTTCGGAAGTTGACGAACAACCAGCACTTTCCATCGGAGTTTACAGCCGGTAATCGCGATAAAGAAGAATCAAACCCAACGTTTACAGAACAGTGAAAGTGAAGATCTCTTCTCTGCGCCTTCTCTGAAGTGGACATATGCTTCTTCTTCTTCTTCTTCTTCTTCGATCCTTCTGTCAGAAAACTTATATCAGGAGGCCGGTAGCCTTTATGAAAGCTATCGTGCAATCCATATCCTCTCGTGTACCATACAGTTTTGTCTTCAGTGTGGTTGGAACAGGCCAGATTGCGTCTCTGTTGTCAGCATACAGTTGACAGTGTTGAAGCACATGCTCAGCATTTTCGGGTGCCACGCTGCAGGGACACATCTCCGTATTTCCTACACCAAAAAATGTGAACATATTTTGACGAAATCTGTTGTGCCCTGTCCTTAATATAATACACTGTCCCTCTCTAGAGAGGCGATGAAGTGAGTCTTGGGGAGAAAATCTGGTGTGGGGGTATCCAGCCACCTTTCTTGGATACTAGATTGTATTAGTGTTTTCATATCTTGGTGGGTTAAGTCGCTTTTTGGTTGTACCATGTCACTGCCGCTTCTGGCCAATCTGTCCGCTATTTCATTGCCTTCCAAGCCACAGTGACCTGGAATCCACTGCAGTACAGATATACTGATAGGTCCCTATTTTATTGACCAATCTGATCTTAATGTACGCCTGGTCACAATCACGTTAAGGCTGGGTCGACCTGAAATCCAGTCATATTTGTGTATCTTCTTCTTCTTTCGTTCGCTTGAAATAAACTATCTATATCTACAATGCTGTCCCTGGTATGAACTTAACTGAGTGAACAGTGCCAAGGCACAGATAAATCATTACGGTCTGAGGAGAGTTGCACTACCAGGAGTTACCAGCGGATCTGACCAACGCTCGACACTCAGGAGGAAGGCGAGACGCATATACAATTAGACAGTACTGGTACCATCGGAATTTTAACTTTTCGCTAGCTGCTGAAGATGGGGATGGGTGCGGGTGTCCCGAGTGATTTGATGTCGATTCTTAATTCAACATTCAACGTGTATCTGTCGTCTTTATTGTTTTCCTATATCACGTTTCGAAATGTGTCTGTGCTCGGCAGACATCTCCGCGACACCTCTTTCGCCAACCCTCGAGTATCCGCCTTTTCATTTAAGTACGGTTGTACCTACAACACAGGGAATTTCAGCGCCGCGGTTTCGTACAAGAAATAGCGGGAATGCGAATACCATGCCATGTTTTGCTGAACAGGCAGAATTCGGTCACCTAATTTCTTCATTTCGACCTTTTCACCCGGTGTGTAGCGTTTGTAAACACCAACTTCCAGATGTGTCGAATCTTACTGTAATCGTAACAAGGAATTTAGCAGATAAAACGTGACATTATGTATTGTAGATCATATAAAGCCCCAATGGAAATACAAAATGTCAGCTATAGGACCTGTTGCAACAGTCAATTAAACTAGACACCTGACCTAAATAGATACTAAGACCGCCTCGTGACTACGTGAGCGATCATGTCTCTTAAGCATGATCTGGTATTTCCGTACCATGTATAAGCTGGTGCCGCGTCGTATTAATAAGGAGCAGTCTATAGTCCGTTCCAAAAGTTGTGTACAACTTTAAAAATCAGTAACTAGGTAACCGTTTGGTGTAAACTGTTGAATTTTGGCATGCAACCAGTTAATAATCAAGTCCTTTTAGGAAAATGATTATAATGTAAACACACATCTTTTTATTTGGGGGGGGGGGGGGGGGGGGGGGGGGATTTGGGGGGGGGGGGGGGGGGGGATTTTTGTGCAGTTTATGGAGAAAGACAAAAAAAAAAAAAAAAAAACCAGACACACCGATTCAGAGCATATAAATAGAATTTATACTTTATTGGAATCCAATTAATGAGGACCTTTACTTTCAAAAAGAAGAATTAGAGCCTCGTAGAATAAACGATCAGTGCATGTTGTACAATGAGGGGAGTAGACTGCAGGAACACTTGATTAGACTAAGTTTAACGTGTAGGAGATTAAACATAAACATAAATACTACTAAAACTGAAGTAATGGAGGTCAGCAGATTTCCTTATCCGCTACATATAGGGTTGAATGGTACTTGTCTAAAGCAAGTTAAGAAATTTAAATGTTTAGGAAGTAAATTTTCGGAGGACGGGAGAATAGATCGGAAAAAAGAAGCAAGATGCCAACAAACCAGTGCACTTCTAAACCGTGCACTTCTGACATTGCTATTATGGCATCTTAACATAATTATGAGCGCCAAGATTATAAAGAGCATATCCAAACCAACACTGTGCTACCAGTGCCAGACTTGGAAATTATCAAAGGCAAACCTACATAAAATTAACACCTGTGAAATGAGATGCCTGAAACAAGTCGCCAACTTATTAAACATCCGTGACAAAGTTAGAAATGATATTATCAGACTGAACGAACAACGCCATGCAGAAAATTCACTGAGAAACAGAAGATCGAATGGTTTGGTCATCTAGTAAGAATTCAGCCAGAAAAACTATTCACGTAGGCTCTACAAATATAAATATTTCAAGTGAAACCAAGAGGGTCACTAGAAGATGGATTGATGACATAAAAGAGCTTCCACATCGACACGGAATGACTGCCTATCAAGCAATGACTTGGGAGTCGCGTGACCGAGCGGCTAGACGCTCGTCGCGGATCGGAAGGTCGTGGGTTTGCTCCCTGGCGGAGCCGGACTTTTTTCAAAAATGACCTTGGCTCCCAGGTCGACCCA